CGACACGTCGCCTCGTCACGCCGACACGTCGCCCCGTCACGTCGACACGTCGCCTCGTCACGTCGACACGTCACATTTCCAGTCACATTCTGAGGCATCAATGATGTCAAGAGGTGACGCATGCGGTATTGTAGGTCAATGTTAGTGAAGCGTAGTGCCTAGTGATGTTGCGAACGGGAGCGAGGGGCGGACAGCTCGAGTTACTGCTATCAAAGGGAATATTACTATCTCATCAATGTTGCTAAAAGATCAAAGAAAGTTCGTATAAATAATCATTAAAAGTTCTAAAACTGAAAAAATCTCTAAAATTAAAACTTCAATACTAAAAAGATCATTTATGTTATTTTGTAATATGAAATTACGTGAAATGTCCCCACAATGCTATTATTAGGCAAAATGACATTTTCTATAAATGGCGTGTTGTGCGACGGTTGACTCCAGTTGAAACGGCTAGCAATCGATCTATTCGACCTTCGTTCCCTCTTTCCGTAGAGCCGCCGCCTTGTCACTATAAAAGCTTTCAGGATTCGTAGTAAACGGCAAAGACGTCTACCTTTCGGGCTTTGGTCTGTACGGGGAATCGCTCTCAGATAGTAGTAGTGTCAGCCCGTCGCGCATAGAGATTTGCAATTTTCGAAAAAGCAGGGATTGCTACGAAAATGAGACTAGCACCATTATTTTAAGTTCCTTTACGGTATTCGAGAACAAAGTGTAATTAAAAAATTTGGAGAGTTTTTGAGGATATTTTGAGTATTTTTTCGAAGCTTCCGTGCAAAATAGCCCCAAAAATAAAAAATATCCTTTTCCAACACGCAACGCCTCGAGTCACTGCAACTAAATCGAGGAATATCAACTTTCGAAGAAATCGTCTGAACAGTTTAGCATTTTTGCTATGCGTTTACATTACCTTATTTTCTGTACTTGATACGAATTTTATCACGCATCTGAATGAGGCATTTCCATTAACTCTACTAGTATTCATGGATTTCAAAATCCATTTGACATTTGTAACTTCATTCCCCGCGAATGTAATTTTATAGGTAATCACCCGTTCCTAGTTCAAATGCAATACTTTATCAACGTATTACAACGAAGTTTAAATGCAATACTTCTTTAATGCAACTTTTTAGGCATAATAGAAGGCAAAGCGTGATTGATGGACGTTAGTTAAATAATGTAATTATGAGTATGATTGTTCATAGATCTGAAACAGAAATAATTTTAAAGCTGTACTGTTATTTAATTCGTTGCTGTTAATTTGATACATATTCTGCTGCTTTAGTTTTTAAACCAAATCAACATCGATTTTTATGATCGAATTCCGCTTTCAATATTGTGTAGTACTAATTATTTATTTCCTGCATTTTCATTTAAACATTGAAACTTAACAATACGCTTATGTCACGCGACAAAAATTCATTTTACACAGTCCAAAATACAGCTACGGAATATCCAAACTAATAAAAATTGTTTCTTCCTAATCCGATCAGACCTGAAGTTCCAAGTGTATTATCTAAATATTAGAGGGAAAATTAAACATTTTAATTTTCATCGCAGAAGAGTAAAAAAAAATCCACAGGCTTCTATTCCTTTGCTGATGATTGCCCTTCAGTGTTCATCATTATTTTCATGTTCATTCCGAAAAATATGTATACGCTAATGCACATAGGACCCCCCTGCACCACGAATTTTGACCAATTTCCCAGAGACTTGGAGAGTATTTCCTTTGAACGATCATTTGAGAGCAGAGTTGGTCCTTTATTTGGTTCTGGACCGTAAAAAATTATGCTCCCCCCATGGACATTACTTTTCATACACTTAAAAAGGCTGTGTTGAGACAACAAGGAATTTACAGAACGTTCAACGCAGATCTTCGTTTGTTTCTCCGCACGTACCAAGTCGCGCAGCTAATGCAACGTCACAGGCACCAACGCGCCAGCCGACAGGTAGTGATTTCACGTGCTGGCCAGCTGGACGGTGGCTGCGTTTTCGACAGCCCACGCGTCGATGGTGGAAATCAAATGCGTGTGTCGCATGCCCGAAATGCATGCAGTAATGAGGTGCATGCCGCACCGATCGCCGCCCACCCGCCGAGAGTGAGAGCTGGGGGCGCCCGGGAACTGATCCTAAACGGCTTATTGCCCCTGAAATTACAACAGCACGAAAAAGATGCCGTCGTGAAAAATCTTGAAAAACTTTAACTTAATGCTGATTTGTGATTTAACTGTTTTTTAACTACACGAAATTTTTGACTTTCCTAGACAATTTATTTCTCTGCGTTTGCTTTTTTACTAATTTATTTTCTCACAATTTTGTATTGTAATGCCAATAATTTGATACTTACTATGAACATTCAATAGTTTTGTTTTATTATTAACTTAATTATCCAAGTCCGGTCTTCAAAATTTAAAAATGGGCAGGTCTCGAGGGGTTTTGTTTGTTAGGGACTTTTTTTCCGTTTTTTCCCCTCATTTTGCATACTGGATATAATTTTTACTGTTCATTACGCACGTTATTGTTGTAAGTAAAGCTGATAACATCGATCATTTATTGCTCTATAATTATATTAAAGACACGGAAGGTCGTGAATAGAGTTCATTTTCGGATTCGGGCCTTTCAGACTAATTCTTTCAACTCACGAAACACAACAGGCGATTTCAGAGAAGTTGTTTTCCCACGATAAGAATGGATCGAGCTTTAAACTCCACGTATACTAGCTTTTCCATTTATTAACGTTCTGTCAAAAACAGTAACAAGTGTATATGACGTACGTTGAGGGGAAAATCGTTACTCCAGTGTCCAGAAACAAAGCAAAGGAACATCCATTACTCTGGAAACCAAGAGAAAGTATGAAAAATACAAATCGCGCTAAAGGGGGATTGCAGGCACCCTAAAGAACTCTGTGGCCTAGAAAAAGTCGAAACATTTGTCACAAACCGTTATTAAGTTACACAACGTAAGGCGTGCTCTACTCTCGCACAGTTTAGCCAGCAAATACCAAAATTCGACTATTACTTTCCCCCACAACAGCGAGTCATCAGTATCGACCGCGACCATTCAAATGGTTATAACTAGAGTAGTGGCAATAGAAATAAACCGGTATTCTTTAAATATTTATCACTACCATTTTTGTTGATTTATTTAATTGCGAAATGTTTCACCCCGTTACGCGTGTCAGAAAGCGTATGTGTCACGCACACATTTTCTTCTTTCCAAACTGCAAGCGCAGCGCCACGGGTCACGGGGAGGAGTCGCGCGATAAATTTACGGCGATTTAACCACCCAGCGGAGAGGATCCGCAGTTCCTCCTCGAGTTCAAGTCTAACAGAGATTCTTCTAGACGCGTAAGGAAGTTACGACGCACGAAACTACTTTGCCGAAAACCGCTATTAAAAGTGCTTTAAGCACCCGACTTTTTTTGTGGCAGGAAGTAGCTTAGAAGTTTTAGATCGGCTCGCGCATCCGCAATCGACTATTTAAAACTCCGTAAATTATCCATTTTGCCTTCTCGCCCCCCCCCCTTCCGAGAGCCCGCCTTTCCGGGATCGAGACCTCTCGGGAGAATCATGGCTGGACCCGCGCGCTCCGCTAATTAAGTAAGCCATTTGTTTAATGGTTTCCTGGGAGTGCGGCGCGCGTTGCGGTGCGTTCCGAGTTCGATTCGCGCGCCCGCCCCGCCGGTTGCAAAGCTGCAATAACCATTAGTAGACGCCCGTTAGATACCTAGACAGAACACAGAACCGCTCACGTCTGTGTGAAGCCATGCGAATGTAAAATGTGGGAATATAATAATGCGCGCTGAGGTAATAAACATGCAATGGGCTTGGCAAGTCCCTATCTGGTTCCCTTTCGAATGAGGAAGTTAATGAAACTCGCGGCGAACAGTAACGCCAGTGCGTCTTCTGCTCACTATACAATGCGCATGAAGCGCGTTGCGGAGGGACAAGATTAATTTGTAAAATATCCACCGTTAACTTTGCACTCGTACTCAGTAAAGATGATTTCCATTTGATTGCGACTATTTTGTTTCCGAATAGAAATAGCGTGTATTCGTTTACAGATATTATCTTGAATAAAATCAAGAGTAATATTTGAAAAGAAGAAACAGTACAATTTTAATCTTAAGTTACAATTTTAAAAATACTTGTGTATGTACTACGTGAAGAGGAATAATGTCAATTTATGATCTTATCTAACGTAGAAGTGTATCACACTAGGCAGAATAAGCATTATGAATGATGTACTTCATAAAACTGACAGCCTTAAAATATTCCTGGTGCTAAGACAACTATCAAGGGGAAAGCTCTAAGATTTCAAAAAATGGCCATTCTGAGTAAAATTGAATGAAAACCTTTTTCTCCCTCTCTCTTCATTCCCCTTCCTTTTACTTCCGTCCCTTTCTTCTTTCATCCTCTTTCTCCCTTACTCTCTCCCTCTTCCTTTCTTTTTCTCTCTCTTTCTCCATTTATTTTGATATTTTCTAAACTGACAGGACGCAAAGTAAGACTAAAGGTAGGGAGTGTGAATGGAAAATGTTCTCACCACACTTATATAACATTATTGTGTAGTTACTTACAACTGTTCTTTGTGATATAACCGATCAAGTCGTGCGGTAATTGCAAACGTTCAAATTTGTAACAATTTTAGACGTAATCGTCCTTGTAATTATTTTGTCAGTACTGTGATCTGCGGACGTACCCGTGCAGTGAAGGACTGATGTTGTGACCATGATTAGCACAGCTGCTCCATAGTTAAGAGGTCTTCTCTGACGCGATCGTAACTCCACAATCTCCCACACCCCTATTTGATCGAACACCTCCGCAGACTTGGTCGACGCCACTTTAACGGCAACAATGCCGTTGTTTGCTTATTGACTTCCCTGGCGTAATCCCTTGAAAGCGCCGGAGAGGCAGGAAAGCTCGAGTGAGCTCCAAGACAATCTCAGTCGGAGGAAGAAGTGACTAAATTGATTTTGTAGGAAGAACTAAACACAAAATAAAATAATCCTACAGATTCAAATTTTCGTTTATATTGATATTATCTCAAAGCAGCCGATTTGCGGCAAATGACACACAAATAAATCGATATCGCACGAAGAGCATTTTATTCGTGTTGGAACTTTGTTTTAACGCAGTAATCTTGTAGAAAGGTTTTTTTAAAAGATCAAACGTCCTGAAAAACCTCACATTGTTTTCATTTACTCATAATTATCACAGAAACGTGCTTTAGAAAATAATTAAATTAGTGAAAAAATATATGAATATCTCTGAGAATAAATTCAGAAACTATTTCATTTTTAAATTATTTCCACGACATACGTGATGTTAAATTGAACAAGCATTTCTACAAAGGCACATACCTTCTAGAATTATATGTACTTATTACGTAATATTAAAACATTGCAATTTCCATTCTACTAACACTTCATCTTTAGACGGCTCTTTGCCCTCAACGTTCCGTCCGTTTTGACACTTTGGAAAATTCTCTAAGGCATTAGGGAAGGATTGTTAGATTAAAAAAATTAATTAAATTATCTACAAATAAAATAAAAAATAATATTTAGGAATACATTGCATTAAGAAAGCAATCTTTACCGTCCATATAAAGGCAGAGAACAGATTCCAAAAATGAATTATCAAAATTCTAGAGGTTTTCATGACTTTCTGACCTCTTCCATGTTATTGAGCGATTTTTTCTCTCTGCGAGCAATCATTTCACCCACTGTTGTTCGACGGGCGAGAGGCGCGATCACATTTGATTTCAATTGTTTTTATAACAAGATACAATAACAGATTCTTGAAACTCTGACTCGCTTCCTAGAAATGTGTTAGGAAAAGGCAATGAAGTACCGCGAGGATCTGCACATTCAGTTGACAATGACCCGTTGTGTATTAGTAGTTTATTCGCGTACTGCAATTTTTAGTTTAACTCTGAATCATTGAAATTGGAAAATAATCTTATATTACTGAAAATGAATGCCTTTTCTTTAGATTACCTTTCGTCGTTGCTCCTCACTTTTGAAATTTTAATAAAAATTGTAAAAATGTATAACAGCACGAAAATATCTTTGAAAAAATGCGTCACCTTTAAGACAAGACCATGGGTTGGGAACAAGCGCTCACCGTCGATGGGGTCCGTCTTGGACGGGTCGACGGACGGAGGGTGAAAGAGAAAATAGACTTTGTGAAAATCTTGTTTACCCACTGTTTTATATATTGTCACGATTTCACTAACAGTTGTACCGAGAATAATCATATTTTTTCAACAATCGACATTTAAAAATATCTAATTTTGAAGAACAGATTTTACTAAGAAAATAGTCTCCCTTTAATAATGTATTTGTAGGACGAGTTGCAGAAAACAACATCAAAAAAAGTTACAAATTCGGAAATTGCAGCTGTTTTGCTACAAAACAGATCCTAGCAATTTTATAAGCGTACCTCACTCAAACCAAGCAAAAATTTAAACAAAATATGAAGCAAATTTAAGAAAAACTAGAAAATATCCATGGGGCTTTATGTAAAATACTTTCAAAAATTAAAAGATCCGTTTCAAGTTGGAGGGTCTACGAAATGAGTCAAACCTCTTGCGATTCCCTACGTGAAGAATTTCTCAAGAGATGATGGAAATATTACAAGGGTATCTGTTGCAATTTTGTAACACTGTATAGCCGTTACAAATATTACGAGAAATAATGAGCTATTGAAGTACAGCAGGTTGGTCTGACAGATTTTTAAGCATTTCAGTATATTAGTTTTAGATTCATAGGCCGTATTTCAATATTCCTACTGAGAAATATATCCATGAAACATCGGAATTAAACAATTCTTTTAAATTAATAAATATTTGTTAATGAAAGAGTAGACGTATGACTAATTTTACTTTTCTTATTTCTCAAATAAAACCAAAAGAATTTAGGTTTGCTTAATTAACGCCGTTTAATTAAATCTTGAAATCAATTAAAACTGAATCTAAAGATTCCTGATTCCCTCTCAATGTGACATTTACAATTAGCACAATTTGTGTTTGTAATGAACGCCAAAAAGCACCAAAAGTAAAAATGAGAAGAGGAACGGAGAACAGACAGGCAAGGCGAAAAAGAAGAAAAGGGAGGAAAGGAAAAGCAAAGTCAAAACGGAGAGAAGAATATTCTAGCCGAAAAAGGATAAACTGATAGGAAATACGAACGAGAAAGAACGTAAAGTCGAAAACGAAGAGGAAAGCGGCAAAGCGGCGCAAAGCAAAATCGCTAAGAGCAGATGCGCAGACAGCTGCGGCGGGGGCGTGGCCCAGCGCGTACTGTGCGCGGCGATTGTGTAATGGTTAGCGTATCGCACTGGTATGCCCAAGTTGACGGGTTCAAACCCGATCGAAGCCGAGGATTTTTAAGGGCGAAAAAAATCCTTCGTACGCCTTCCTTCGGAGGAGAAGTAAAGCCGGCTGTCCCATGTTAGTAGATTTACTAGCATGTAAAAGATCCTCAAGCCTAAAGGACGCCTCTGAGCTAAATTCAAAATTGCCCGTTTCTCGCCCAAGAAATACCTCTAGTTGGTGAAAGGAGCGTAGCGAAATTTGCGTGGTCAGACGGACGAGCGGGTCTGATGTCCCGAGTCTCGCCACGCAAAATAAGGCATTAATTCAATTCAATTCAATTCAATTCTGTACTCACCGGTGCGCGGCAGGATGAGGAAGGCCGCCTGCGCCGTGAGCGCCAGCCCGGCCGCCCACGCGGCCAGCAGCAGCGACAGGCGCCGGGCGCGCGCCGCGCGGCCCGGCACGGCCTCGGCCAGGTAGGGCAGCCCCGCCGGCAGCACGCCGCCCGCCCTGCCGCAGCCACACCGCGCGCTCGTGCGATCGCCCCACACCCCCAAAAGAGCCATAGCAAAGCAATAGAAATACAACATGCAATTTGCTCTAATAGATTTTTTATGCACCAAGGCCGTTGTAAGGGATCTAGTGATCGAGCGGCGACGAACGGTTTGGTCGCTAGCGATTATTAGAACCAGTTCACGCCCGTGGTGCATACACGATTTTATTATTTTTTTACGTAATTTTAATGATTCAGATTGACTTACTAATTAACGAGTTGTTAACTTCACTCGGCTCGTCTTTTCATATTTTCTCTCATAATTTCCTTTCACATCTACCTCTCATAATTCTCTTCATAAGAGGACGTGTAGCACCCTGCAACTGTTTTCATTTTTCCCTCGTTACCACGATCCTCTCGGTCCAGGTACGTTATGCAGGGTATATAGCGCTCCGTATCGAAGGCAATAACAAGCAATAACGTTTCAGTAAAAAATAAAAAGTTTGCATACAGGGGATAGCGTGGTTGCTGATTATAATTCCGAAGTTGACAAAAAGGGGGGCTCCAGTATGATTGATCAAATTGCTCAAGGTGTAGATCAAAATTTGTGACTTATAAATAGAAAGAAGTCAGGTGAGTAAAGTTTGTGGAATAGAAGAATACGATTGGTACTGAAATTAATTAGCTAGTCAAGAAGTCGTGATCACACACAGACGCCGTGTCTTGTTGCTGGTTTTAACGCAATTGAACGATACTGTGTCGTAGATCCAATAGCACTGCATAGGCCTTGGCAGTATATTACTTTGACAGGAAAAAGTGAAAGCATGATGAGATCTGATATTTTTAAAGATCGAAATAAAGGTATCTGATTTTGTAAATATTTGAAACTACACATCTTCCATTAGTTTGACTCTGCTACATTTTCGCAAGAAATCTTGTCGGTAATTTTTAATCATTATGTTTCACGATTATTGAGCACCTTCCCATATTTGCCCAATTCGCAATAGGGAAGAAGCTATTACTCATTTGCCACAAATGAAATGTCAGGAAACTGAATATGATATATAAAACGTTGCATTGGAGTACAATTTACGAATTTACAAGCTGTTTTAAGCATATTCCATCTCGCCACCATTTAACATGGGAAGAAAAGACCCGAATCTGACATTTCGAAGATAGTTTGTTTGTTCTTGACGCGTTGGCCCGTGTACGGCCCATGCCCTACTAGCGACGTCCCGGCCTCGCGGCCATGTGTTAAGGGGGTACGTGTGGTTGGGACGAAGACATCCCCACGCCATATTATGGTCTTTTCAACCTGAGAAGTAAATTTTCTCATCGTCACACCGCAACATATACTGGGACATTGCAAGGAAAACGCACACTATTATCTTGCCGGGAATCGAACCAGGGATCGCGTCATGGAAAGCGAACAAGGTGACCAATGAGCTAAGCCACAAGGCGACATTTCGAACTACGAGTATCGGTGCAAAAACCTGCAATTGCAGAAAGTCACTTTTTTGGCATACGCTTTTTAAAAATTAAATAGATAATATTACAGACTACAATATTACCTACAAGCTCCATCAATTTCGTCGCGGAACTTTTCAGAATTTACAGCTCATTTCCTATATTTAAAGATACAAAGTAATTATAAACACTGAAAATTATATATCCATCAAGATTTGAATCAACCACGGGTAACAACATTACACAGTATACCGCGCTTTTGAAGGACCGTCATTTCCTTGCCTTTATTTAACTCAGTCGTTTACACGCGCATTATGTCTGAACTGATGCAGGTGAAGTATCGGAGAAAGCCATTTGCCGATATTTTGGGCATTCGTCTAACCCAATGTATGTTCAAAATTCCTTAAACAATAACTTCATTTCGCGAATGTTGGCCGCCTTTTCGGGATTCGGTCCCAGTGCGAAGGGTCAGCGCTCGGGGCCATCGCGCTCAATTGCGTAGTCGAGGGCAGCGGACGCTTCCAGGGAAACAACGCTTTCACTCGTGTCGGACGGGTACAAAACGATTCCTCCTGCGAGAGTGGCAGTTCTTGTCGCCCTTCTGATTGCGGGGCCGGTCGCTCGCTCCCTTTGACGCATTAACGGCCGCTCACCTGCGCGAGCGCGCTCGGCGCTCCTCCCGCGTCCTCGTCGGCCCTCCTCAATGCGCGCCCGCGCCCGTGTATCCCTTTGCATTCTTGAGCGAGACGAGTCGCCCTGGAATTCTTCCCTCCTCATGTGTACCGCTTGGCAGAAGCGCTTTGATTTCTCTCTTAGGGTACGCGCGTGGAGGGCTCTTGGTTTCCGGCGCTCGAGGGCCCGGCGGCGCCGATTGACGTCAGTCAGCGGCTTGATTGCGTCGTGCTGTCGAATGGTGACACTCACAACGAATGCTTGCCGAATCTTGTCGACGTGGAATGATCAACGCTTACCAGCGGCCGAACTCCTGGGGCGTGCGGCGTGCTGCAAGCGTCTACCCTCAGCCGGGTCGTGGCTTGACATCGTGTGTTCACAAGATTTAGAATTTATGTAGAACATTTTTGATATCGAAGGTGCTTGTGAGGCCAGCTATTCGGAATAAAGGGATAAATGGCAGGCGAACAGAAATGTGAAAAAGTGCTGGAAACAATATTCTGCATCAATGAACAAGAAAACATCTTCACGTCTTCCATCAAATGTTAAAAGTTTAATAAGATGATTTTTTTTATAAGAAATCTTGAAAGTTACATGGAGTAATGCATTAATGAATCCAATTATTAGACACTGAAAGCCAATACATTTTCAAAAGCATTTACCAATTTTTCTGAGTAACAAAATTCTATAATTATACACGAATGTAAGAAAAATATCTCTAATAACTGATACATTGGCTGGCCTCAATAGCAGAGGTCGCAAAGGCCGTAGAGCCGTAGCTGCCTCGACTAGAAGGTCATGAGTTAGAATCACACCTAGGGCATGGATTGTATGTGCACGTGTCGTCCTTACATGTTGTGTTCCCCCTACAGTTACCCCAATGCAAAGAATCATAGTGGTCGCTATGTTACCTAGTAGTTAAAAAGCGACGTAAAAAATTGATTCATTGGACAGTTGTTCTGTACGTTGCATATGACGTAATGTGAATCCAATTGAATGGCGTTATTGGGAAGGCTGTAAAATTCTTATTCATCAATAACAATGTTTTGTTAAACATACACGCACTGTACAATTCTTTCGCGTATATTAACAAAAGTCTGTATACTTTTGGTTATATTCTCTTCTTTGACCAGAATGGTCCAAAAGACATCTAATAGCACATCTACACCCTTCTTACAAATTTTGATTTACCGTTTTCATAAAAAAAACGTGCATTTTCTTTTTCGCCGTCACTGAAAATAATTTCTATCATTGTACTGGTCCGCAGTTCGCCCTCTACATCGCACGCCCCAGACACTTGGGATTCTGAGTCCCTGAGTCTCTAACCTTCATCTTTGTGTAATACGCGCGCGTGTTTCTCTGCATGCTTGAGCAAGTGGAATCTCTTCTTGCCGGCGCGATCGCTCTGGAATTTGTTCCCTCCTGATGTGTACCGCTTCGCAGAAGCTCTTTGATTTAGGCAAGAGAAGTGTCCACTTCCCTTTCAGCGTTAGTTCGTGGACTGGACTGGACGCCTCGCCTCTGGGCGTATACAACAGGCAAGTAGTCCCTAGGTATCTAGGGCAGGCATTCCAAACAGTTTTCTTGCAACGTCCCCTTTGAAAAGAATTATTTGCTTCTCCTAACCCCTTGGATATTTCTGAACAATATACAGAATACATATTCGTAACACAAGTAACTCTATAAAAGTGTCTTAATGACAAATCAGTGCACCCATAGTTTCGTTAATACCATACCAATAACTAAACATTTGTGCTTTTGAGTTGCTGAGTTCATTCATTTTTGTGCAATGGCTACAAATGTGAACCATAAGCCTTTTCCAGCTCACAATTGAAGATAATTTTTTCTTGGGCGGTAGAGTAACGTTGTTATAATTTGTTGAGTTTACTATACATACCATGATGGATTAATACGAAAGAAGTTGGGAATACGTTATATACAGGGCTTACAGGAGGGAAATAGGGGTTACAGAAGTCCGTTTCCACCACTTTCTGCTTGTCCATGATTTAAAGATGAATTTTTGCTCATTGACATTGGAATGTTTTAATTCGTCGATCTCGTACTATCAAACTTTACCTCTATGTTGAATGCTTCACTGCACATTCACGAGATTGTAACTTTCTGCAATGCATCTATATTTATCGAAAGTTCATTGCACAAATATTAAGTAATAGTAAAATAAATAATGATAATATTAATAATAATAATTTTAATATACAATATGTAGTTCGCTGTTAATATGAAATGTCACGCAAATTTTGGCTATACCTACTGTTCTTCCGATATCACAAGCAAAACAAACTCGCGCCCACTCTTCTGTTCTTTGAAACGTTGATTCTTTTATTGGATATTTTAAGAGCATTGACTTTCTGCCTTGCTTCTATTTTTATTTTGTATTTATGGCCTCATAGTATTCGGCCATTGGAATCTGTTGAGCGTTTGATGTTCAATAACCAGCGCAAGGTTTAGTAAGTACTCTGTGAAACTTAAATAATTCAACCTTACATTAATTTTTGATTCTTAAGATGATTTTTAATCTGGTTATTGAACAATTGTCGTACATATATTGAAAATAAGAATACGCCCTAAATATTTTATTATCAGATGAAATATCATTATCAGCCCCAAGCTCTATCGTGATTCTCTTCCAATTTTTATAGCAAATGCTGGGAAGTTGGCCCTTTCTCAGTTTCTGCACAGTAATGAATTATTTCCTCCGAAACGTTAGATGCCATGTAAATAGCTTGTTTTTATTATGTAAATATGGTTATCGCTTATATTTTTATATTACTATTATTATTATTATTACTATTATTATTATTATTATTACTATTATTATTATTATTATTATTATTATATCATTTATATTTTTATATTATTGTTACCTCATACTTTCTTATTTTTTATTAATTCTGGGACGACTAAGCAGAAATATTTTGTTACCGCTCAATTCAGAGGTGATTGATTAATTTTTAATTATTTAATTTAAAAAAATCGTAAGTAGCATCACATTTAAACAAACTATTATTACCAATTTATCACTTGATGACTGTCAAATACATTTATCAATGTTTTATTCGTACTCGAGTTCATTATGCTTGAGAAGTTCTGGAAGCCACTATAGAAGAGAATAGTCGGGGTTACGAGCGGCCGACGGGTTTGTGGGGGCCGCGAATCGCCGACCTCGCGCGGAAGATCTAGGGGCAGGCACGCGCCTTCCGACGCGAGCATCGGCCCGGTGATTGATGGGCGGTAAAGAGGCCCCGTGAAAAAGCGGCCACCCGCCGCGCATGCTTCGATTTTTCGCTGAGGCGCCGCCGCCGCCGCGTCTCGCACACATACGTGCAATTTTAAATGTGACGGATGGCCGTTGCGCGAGAGCTAGCGATTGATTTCCAAGGGACAAGAACACGTACTATTGCACACTGCGAGAAATGATTCCGGTGCCGGCACAACAGAGTTAAATAGCGTATTGGACAGTGTGTGGTTCGCCGTGTGCATAGTCTTCGTTCAAGCATAATAGACATGTGCACTGAGATCTTAAAATCGTTATTCATTCTGGGAATGGAATTCCTTAACGTCGATTAGAGTGAGGATGTCTGAGCGTTAAGTTCAATTTAGTACCATTCGAGAGGATCAGTTAGATTTCAATTAAACTGACCATTCATTTGCAGATCTAATGACGTAAGAGGTCAGGTTCATATTCTGACGGTAATTGGGATGGCGAGTTCCTGAACATGTTATGACGGATGGATATACATAATTGTGCTCTGGAATGCAAGCATTTCCGATACCAGATCTCGAAATGACTAGCAATGAAGGATTAGAATCTTATCAGCATACGAGGTATATTGGTAGTGAATGCGTTTTCTTGATTACACCAACCGTGCAAGAGTCTAGATTAAATAATGATAATGATAATGATAATAATAATAATAATAATAATAATAATAATAATAATAATAATAATAATAATAATGTACTTTTTTAGGGAAGAGCAGTGCTAAAACTTAGGGCGGGGATGTCGGCGTTTCATAAAGGCTACCGACATTAAGCCTAAAAATGATAAGGTATTTGGCGGGATACACACTGCTTCAAATAACATTATCGAACATATCTGACGGTACTTTCTCGTTTGCAGCATAATATCTTCACAATCGATAATTCTGCTTAAATCATAAACTGAAGGCAATGCTGTGATTAATTTTTGCCACTTTTTATTAAAAGTACATATATATTATATAGAAGATCTTTCAGACCAGGTGGGGAAAACACACACATCATAATTGTGTTCCAAATAGCATTTTTTGTCTTTAAAATTTCAAATACAATCTCGTTAGAAAGACTCATGCAATTATATTTGGGGCCATGCGCCATTCTCATTTCCACTGATTGTTATCTGATCTTATTTCTTGAAGACGTTAAACAGCATCCAATATAGAGCT